TGAAGCCGGTTCTCAGGGCCCCCGAAGATCTTCAGGTCGAGGTGCCGTAGGATGGGACGCGCCTTCCCCCAGAGCACGAATTACATTTGGAGTCTGAAGGGCTGCACAATAAATTGGGCTGCCCATCACGATGTCCTAATAAAATTGGAGACCCCCCTAAGTTGTGATTGCCAAATCTTGGCGGGGGGGCTCTCGTGTCTTATGGGGCGGCTCAGTTCTCCCAAGCTGCCTGGTAATTTGAACCCCGCGTTCCCCTTGCTGGCATGGGTGCTGACTGCAGCCACCAGGTCAGGATCCGGCACCAAAGCCCACCAGGGAAGAATTATCAAAACATTTGATCTTGCAGAAAGTCCATATTCATCCTCCATTCTTTGTCAGTGAATAAACGGCCTGGGTTTATGAAGTCTGAAAATCAAAGAATTAAAATGCCTTAAACAACTGATCCCTCTCTGGTACCTCCTCGACACAGGGATATTTCTCTCTCTCAAATTCTTTATCAAATGAGCATTTTGTTATATAAAAGTAATAGACTAAGCAGGGAATTTGCCCCATGCTGAAACTGACTCCTTTAAACATGCTTAGCACCAAAAAACAGCAGCAGCAGTAATATAATTAAAATATGCAAGAGAAAACAGCATGCTTTCCCAATAGGTCTATTTAAGCATAATATTTTTACCATAATATTTTGTCTAGGATGATGGGAGTAGATATCTTTCCAAAAAATGCAATGCCTAGTGATTTCGAAGGGCTTTAATTTCCCCAGACAGAAGGTGCTGTATATGCCATGTACTAATATTAATAATTCATTTTAGTAATAGTTTGGTACCCTAGACTGTTTTTTACCTTGTTCTTGCCAACAGAGCTTTCAACCTTCATCCCAAGTGGTATAGTAACCAGGAAGCTATTTAAGGCCTACACATAGCTTGGATTTTTCCTGAGGTTGCAACTGAAGTGCAGCAGCTTTAGGAATATTGGCTGGGTAAGAGAGAGAGGAATAACAGAGAATAGCTCCAGTTTATATTACTTAAAAAAAGTTTTACTTCCTGTTAACTTTCCCTGACTCTGTATTAAAGAAAAAAATGCATAAAGAATGTAGAACTTCAAAATGATTGTGGGGATAAAGGATGCAGGTGATATTCTACTGTAGCTTATAGCGATAATCTTTATACAACCTCCTACGCAGCTAATAAGCTGGAAAAAAATGCATTCTAAATTTTAGAGCGTTTGACTGACAAACTTCAACCCCTGTCCCCCCCCCCAATCTGGCGCGCACTTTATGTTACCTGCTTTTTCACATTGTCTAACAAGAGACTGACAGACAAATTAAATTACTTCCAAGTTAGTCAAAATGGGACTGAAAAGAAGAGCTGTCAGATTTCCCAAACTTCCAGAGATCTTCAAAATTACACTTTTTGAAAGAGCCATATTCATCAGTGCTTTTAAAACAGCACAGAGTTTGGTAAAACGGAGCATTTAGACAAGTTAATATGACTATAGATTTGTTTTAATACAATGGTCTGAGATTTGGGGGGAAATGGAGGTTAGATTGCTTTTGCCCTGTCATTTAAAAAAAAATTGCTGTTATTTGAACTCCTGCAGGGATCATAAAAAATGCTGGGCTTCTCTTAAATGTTTTAATTTTGAAATTGTCCCAGAACTGGTCCCACAAAGTGTTGGAGCACTTCATTAACCATTAACCAGCAATGGTGAATAAGTTTTTAAAATGTTTCGTGTTTTGCCCGTGTCTAGGAAGAAACCCTTGCCTCCTTCATCTCATTATTTTGAAAAAAGTGCTTTCCCCAACAGCAGTACTGCTTTGTATAGTAACAAATAATCTAAATAATTTATCAGGCTACCTGACAAAATGATGCCCAAATTCACAATTAAGGCATTTATATTTCTCCAGAAACAAGACATATTAGGGGTTGTGTTCCTTTTCCTTTCACCTCTTTCCATTCTATTTAAGCTCTCCCCTCCCCACAAAGAAAATTAAAGTAAAAAATTGTGGAGTTGAGCTAATAGCTGCTGCTGTTGTGTTTTTACATTACTTATCTGCTATGCACTGTGTCAGTCTTGTCTGTTTAGACTGCAATCTCTTTTGGATAGGGAACATACTCTGCTGTATATAACCTACATTCGGGGCCTGTACTACCCAAATAAACATGATTGAAAATAAATAGCACAATTTTGAGGTGTAGACAGTTGAATTTCTAAAATATAATTTTAGAAAATCTAGTAGTATCAGTCTCTCCCCTAAAATCCTCTATCAGTGGGATTATGTTAGATATTGATCTGATGTATGGCTTTGGTTCAGGAGTAGCAGGGGGAGGTAATTTCTATGGAAAAACAGGTACCGAATGACAGGGTTGAGGTTAGGGCTAGAAGAGGTGGTGGTGGTACTCTATGGAGATTCTGGACAGCAGTACTTAAAGCTGGTTTCTAAAACCTGGGGCAACTTCCTGGCCCACCCAATTTGTGCCAGTGGCCATTTTGACCCGCACTGCAGTCAGGACTCAGGAAGGCTCCAGATAACTAAAGTCGCATCTGTCCTTACTTCTCCACTGGTGAGTTTTCTGTGCTGTAATCAAAGGGCAGCCGGCCAGAATTTATCCCCACCTGCAGCCATTAATTCAGACTCAAATCAAGCCAGGAAAAGGTGCCCTGGAGTCAGACAGGATTAGCATGGTTGAGACATGCCAATTTCTGTAGCCAGTGGCATACAAGGGAGTGGTGTGGCTATCATCGCGTCCAGGCTTGGTTTTACACCCTGGCCTGTGGTACTGCAGTGTTGCCAACTCTCATGATTTTTGGCATTGTTCTTAAAGTCTAGTCTTCGGGAATGTGAAAAACTTAGCTCTTTCTTTTAAGTTTTTCACATTCCTGAAGTGTAGACTTTAGGAACAATGTAAAAAATCATAAGTTGGCAATACTGATGGGTACCACTTACATTTAGTTCACTGGGGTGGACTTCAGCATGAAAGCTCAAACCTCTGCAGCCATAGCAAGATGTCTCAAGTGGTCTGTCACCATTCCCTAGCAATTCAAACTCAATATGTACCCTCTGCTTCTAGAAACAGGAAAGGGGATATCCAAATACAAGTATAGTAACAGTCTCAGAGTTATCCTATTACCTGGTCATTTGTATGGTATCTGGTATAAAAACAACATTCATTGCAGAAGTGGGTGGTACCATCTCTTGATAAACACTGAGTACTATAACTATGTAATGCTTTTATTTTGTTGACCTTCGTACCAAAAAGCAAGGGTAGAATCAGCTATAAGTTTCTGTCTCTGCTATTGCCCAGGATTGTTATAAAAAAAAGAGGCAAGAGGAAGGGGACAGACAGACAGTCATGTCTTCTGAAGCAACCCAGAATAAGGTTCAGATGTCTGCACTACAACAAAATGAACAGGTAAGTTATGGTTGCTTCTATTTTCTGTTTAATGATATCACTAGCCAATGACTGGGATTGTTGTGCTGTCAGTAGCTCGTGAAAAGGTGAATAGCTATGTGTTTCATGGTTTCATAGTTTCTAGGGTCGGAAGGGACCTGAGCAGATCATCTAGTCCGACCCCCTGCCATGGCAGGAAAGAGTACTGGGGTCAAACGACCCCAGTAAGGTGGTCATCCAACCTCCTCTTAAAAACCCCCAGGGTGGGAGCCTGCACCACCTCACTTGGAAGCTGGTTCCAGACCCTAGCTGCCCTGACCGTGAAGTA